GGATTCGAACCCGCCACCTTAGGTGTACGTGGCTGGCGCCTTAGCCCGTTGAGCTATAGGCGCTGAGCCAATGCCTGGCTATTTTTAGAAAGGAGGTCTCGCTCTTGTTCAGGCTGGTCTTGAACTCCAGAGCTTAAGCAATCCACCCACCTAGGCCTTCCAGAGTGGTGCTGGGATTGCAGGTATGAGCTACCATACCAGGCTTCACAAGTATTATTTTTTTTTAGCCAGGGCTGGGTTTGAACCCACCACCTCCAGCATATGAGGCTGGCACCCTACTCCTTGAGCCACAGGCACTGCCCACACAAATATTCTTAATAAGGCACATTTAAGCTTCTTTGCCTCTAATGTTTATTTGCAACATAAAGAGAAATTATTCTCCATTTTGCTTTTCTTTTGCTTTTTTGAGACAGAGACTCAGTTTGTCGCCCTCGGTATGTGATGTCACAGCTCACAGCAACCCCAACTCTTGGGCTTAAGTGACTCTCTTGCTTCAGTCTCCCAAGTAGCTGGGGTTACAGATGCCCGCCATAACGCCCAGCTATTTTTTTTTTATTGTAGTTGTCATTGTTGTTCGGCAGGCCTCAGGCCGAGTTCCAACCCACCAGCCCCAGTGTATGTGAATGGCGCCCTAGCCTCTGAGCTACAAGCGCTAAGCCATGCTTTTTGCTTTTCAGTTGCAGTGGGAAAATGGTACCCAAGCTCTATCAGTGACTGAAATAGGTTTCCAAATTTTCACTAAAGGCACTATAGGTACCAAAAATGAGGGTACTGGGAAAATAATTGGTTAGTAGGAGATATACCCCAACAGAAGATAGATTTGGAGAAAGGATGAGGGAAATCCATCCTTCCAAGCTGGGGAGAGTAGAGGAGCTAGGAGAACCAGCGAATGGAAGGAATTATATTTACCTGGAGAAGTGGCAGGGGGTCCCGTGGTAGGCTGGGGAGTCGTAGGGCTGCTGTCGTTCTGCACCTGAAAGCACAGATTGGACACTCAGACCCTGCTCCCTATCATATTTCTTGGTTTCTGCCCTCCTTCCCCACCCCTACGGTCATGGACTCACCACCTTGTTGGGTGCCTGCTGGGTACTGTACTCTGGGTTTGGCTCACTGAAGTTAGGAACCTCAGAATAAACCATACAGAATCTGCAAGGAAAGAAAGTAGCTAAAGCTGTTGGGCTCATCCTCTGGGCCACTGTTAGAGGCCTTAGAAAAGTCCAGAAACAGGCTGGGTGCAGTGACTCACACTTGTAATCCCAGTACTTTGGGAGGCCTAGATGGGTGGGTTGCCTGAGCTCAGGAGTTAGAGACTAGCCTGAACAAGAGCAAGACCCTGTCTCTACTAAAAATAGAAAAACTAGCTAGGCATTGTGGCAGGTACCTGTAGTTTCAGCTACTTGGGAGGCTGAGGAAAGAGAACAGCTTGAGCCCAAGAGTCTGAGGTTGCTGTGAGCTATGACACCATAGCTACCAGGGGTAAAAAGAAAAGAAAAAAGAGAGAAAGAAAGGTCCAGAAACAGATCATAGACTGCACACCCTTATTCTGCCTCCTTGGAAACCTTAACTTTTACTCTGTGGGCTGGTGCTTCTTCATCCCCATCCCTAAGACAGTACTTACTCTCCAATCTTCTGCAGATCGCCCCCACGGCCAGTGTACAGTGTCAGACAACCTTTGAACACTGAAGCATACCTGTGGAAGCAAAAAACACAAGATTCAGAAGAATTGTAGGGAATGTGAATCCCAAACCTTTGATTGTTGCTGCCCTTGGAAAGCCAGGAGTCTGCAGCTGGCTTACCCTTTGGTGAGTCGGATAATGTCCCCAGGCTGGATCAGGTTGCCCACGTCGTCCCAGACGGAGATATTGATACTGCCCGTTTTGTCTGCCACTTTGCAGGTCCGAACTTCGTGCCCGTCCTTTGTTTTGGTCACTCGGCCTGAAGGGAAGAGATAAAAAGGGGTTGGAGGATGGTCAAATAAATGGGATGGTGGCAGTCAGAGGGATGAGCTCTGGATATTGGTGGGTGAGGAAAAAGGTGTACAAACAACAAAGTCCAAATCCCTGGGGCATGAGGGGTTGGGGGTGTGTGTGTGTGTGTGTGTGGAGGGCCAGCACCATGGAGAGGGCCCTGAGTGGAAAGAGGCCCACGTGGCAGATATTGGGACCATGGATCTGGTAAGAGTTCTACCTACCCTACTCCCGACCGCATCTGGCTGTGCCAAGGTCTTAGGAGAGAGTTCAGGACTGAGCGGTGCCTTAGGGCGCGCCCTGCCGTCACTGAAGCAAGTTAAGAACTTAGGCAGTGTTCTCCCCCTCCCGCCCTCCTCCTCCAACCCGCGCCCCCCACATCCAGCCCACGCGAACCCACCACCCCCAGGATAGCCACCTGTCTCCAGCACAATGAAGATAAGGTTCAGATTCTTGAGCCCAGGCTTGATATCTTTCACAAAGGTCTCCGTCGTCATGCTGCCCAAGCCTCTAAACCCCACTGGCAGAGGGAACAAACAATTAATGGTCAAAGCTTAGAGCCTTTGCCCCCTTGCTCCACTTCCCGAGGCCTACCTATTACACCAGGTCAGGCAGCCTCAACTCCTCTGATCCTTCTAAAAGGACAGAAATAGGCTTCCCCTGAGGCCTCCAACTTCAGGATCACAATCTGGGGGGGTCTCTGGATAGGCTGCTTCGGGGCAGGAAGACCCCCTGCCAGGATGCTCTTTCAGTGTAAGCACCGAAGTGGGGGAGCCGACGGAGACAGGAATAAAGGATCTGGTGCAAAGCCGGGGACAGAATTTTTCTGGTCAAACCTTCCCGAATCCTCATCAGGACAACTCGGAACCTTGGCCCATCTCCTACACCACCTACAGCCCACCACCCACCCAGCCAATCGGCCAGGCTGTGCACCAGCTGAGCAGCCCGCAGGGGGAGCTACACGCCCTGCTACCGCCGGATGCTGCCAGATGGAACGCGGGAATGCAAGCATTCCCGGAAGTTTCCCCCGGCTGGCCTCCCTCGGCCAATCAGCACTGCCCGGGCGCGCCCTGCGTCCTGCCGCCTGCCCTGCACAGCCAATCGGGATCCAAGACTCTTGCGCCGCAAAGGGGGAGAATTTCAGATATTAAAGGAACCTCGGAGGTAACTAGCGCTTTGTGGGGGCCGGGAGAACTACCATCAGGGGGCGCCAGAGACCCTAATTTTCCCCGACTTGGCTAGGAGAAGGCATTTAGGCCGTAGGATGTTTCTCTCCAAGGAGTGTGATACAGTGGAAAAAGGACCAGAGGCTTCTTTGGAATTTGACAGACAAAAAAGTTTGAACCCTGGCATTTTTCTCCACAATTCTTAAGTATATCCCTCCATTTTACAGATGAGATAACAGAAATTATATAACCATTCCTCTCATTCTCATCTTTAATGCACTACTCAGCTTGGTCAGGGCCTTTGGGAAAACTGGAATTCATACAACAGACTATAGGCTGACTCACCACCTCCTTTGGAAGAAATGGACCCGAGGCATAGAGAACACTTGCATTAGTCTCTCTGTTGTTCACAAGACACCTATTCCTCGTCTCGGGGCGGAAGAAGAGGAGTCACGGCCAGCTACCAGACTCTGCGCTCCTCACTTGGGTGCTGCATGGTCTTCCCTGCTGCTGCTCTTTGGTCCCGCGCACTCATCCACAGCAGTCTGCCCGACTCAGACATGGCCTTAAGCGCCACCACCACCTCTGTGAAGATTGGAAGAATTGGTGGAACAGGCTTGGATGATCCAGAAATTTTAGAAGGAAGAACTGAAAAATATGTGGATACTACATTTGGCAAGCCATCTGATGCCTTCATTCTGGGGGAAATAAAAAATGTCAATTGTGGGCTCCACGCCAGTAGATCAGTGAGTAGGGCACTAGACACATACACTTAGGCTAAAGGGTTCGAGCCTGGCCGGGGCCTGATAAACAACAATGACAACTGCAACAAAAAATAGCTGGGCGTTGTGGTGGGCACCTGTAGTCCCAGCTACTTGGGAGGCTGAGGCAAGAGAATCGCTCAAGCCCAAGAGTTTGAGGTTACTGTGAGCTGTGACACCACAGCACTCTACCAAGGGTGACATAGTGAGACTGTGTCTCAAAAAAAATTTTTTTTTATTGCGTTCTCCTTGCAAGGCATGGGAGGCAGCACACCATCATGCCTTCAAAAGTCAACTACCAGGCAAATATCTGAGCTTTGAAGGAAGGTTGTACACACGTCATAGTGACCACAGCTTGTGGTTCCTTGAGGGAGGAGAGTCAGCCTGGTAATATAGTCATTATCGATCACTTCATCACAGGACCACCATGAGGCCTCAGACCTTTTTTTTTTTTTTGCTTTCAATTTCATCTGGCTTTCACTTTATCTTAGTTTGAAGTGTTTTTCTTTCTTTTTCTTTCTTCCTTTAGCGATTTTCTTGCCCTTTTGCCCCCCAAGTAGCTGAGATTATAGGCGCTCGCCACAACATCTAGTTTGGTTTTTTTTTGGTAGACATGGGGTCTCACTCTGGCTCACTCCAGCTTATGCTGGTCTTGCACTAGTCTTGAACTTGGCTGAGCTCAGGTGATCCACCTGTCTTGGCCTTCCATAGTGCTGGAACAACACTGAATCACCACGCCCAGCCCTCAGACCTTTTATGAGAGAAGTCATTCCTGTACCAGAGAAGTGTGCCACATTCCCATGGCTGAGCCATTTTGCCCCAAAATAAGAGAGAGGTCCTCATTGAAACTGCTAAGAAGCTTGAACTCTGGTGACACTCAAAAGGGACAATGTTGACAACTGAATGACCTCGTTTTAGCTCCTGGACAGAAAGCCTTGTGTTATGCACCTGGGGGTGGGGGGGCGATGTCATCAACATGACCACATTTCCAGAAGTGGTTCTTGCCAAGGAGGTTGGAATCTGCTATACAAGTTATCACCAAGGCAACAGATTATGATTGCTGGAAGGAGCACAGGAAGCAGTTTCCATGGTCCCAGTCTTAAAGACCCTGAAATGCCAATAAAGTCAAAAGTTTACTTCTCACCACGATTCCTCAGATAGGGTCTATGGGAATGGTCAGAAACCATCTATAATCTGAAGAATATGGCCCAGTTTTCTGTTTTATTACCAGGACATTAAAATAGCATGGCTGCCCAGAAGAAGACTTTCTAACTCCAGTTGCTTTGGAAATTGTTGCTTAACTTGAAAAACATGGGAAGGCAGTGCTTGTGGCTCAAAGGAGTAGGGTGCTGACTCCATATGCTGAAGGTGGTGGGTTCAAGCCCAGCCTCAGCCAAAAATTGCAAAAAAAAATAATAATAATAATAAAATAAAGAAAAAGAAAAGCGGCTCGGCACCTGTGGCTCAAGCAGCTAAGGCGCCAGCCACATACACCTAAGGTGGCGGGTTCGAATCCAGCCCGGGCCCGCCAAACAATGATGGCTACAACCAAAAAATAGCTGGGCGTTGTGGCGGGCGCCTGTGGTCCCAGCTACATGGGAGGCTGAGGCAGGAGACTCGCTTGAGCTCAGGAGTTGGAGGTTGCTGTGAGCAGTGAAGCCATGGCACTCTACCCAGGGGACAGCTTGAGGCTCTGTCTCAAAAAAAAAAAGAAAGAAAAAGAAAAAGAAAAACATGGGAAAGACATGCAGCTTTCATGCCCTTGCCTTGGTAAGAAAGACAAGATGTTGTGTGTATGAGACACTTCTAAAAGACTTGAATGGCTTCAGAATACAGAAGAAAAACAAATGATCAGGTAGCGCCTGTGGTTCAGTGGGTAGGGCGCCGGCTCTATATACGGAGGGTGGTGAGTTCAAATCTGGCCTGGCCAAATTGCAACCAAAAAATAGCCGGGTGTTGTAGCAGGCGCCTGTAGTCTCAGCTACTCTGGAGGCTGAAGCAAGAGAATCACCTAAGCCCAGAAGTTGGAGGTTGCTGAGAGCCATGTGATGCCACAGCACTCTATCCAGGGCGATAAAGTGAGACTCTGTCTCCACACACAAAAAAGCAAATGACCAGTAAACATGGGGAAAATTTTTACATTTTAGAAAAAAAAAATCCCCAGAAGACAGGAGACCTGAAATTTTAGTTCCCCTGGAAACCTGCCAGATTGTCAATAAAAGGCAGCTAGCTCTGCTCTGTTGTGTATAAAACAATTACACAAAGATATACTAATGTGCTTTACCATTTGCTGACCGAATATCCGTAATAAATGCTATTTAATACCAGATCAAGCTAAGAGGTGACATAATTGTAATGCTTTGGTTTGCTTAATTAATCCTTTACCTTCTCATTAGAGCCTTTAGGTTCCACCTTGACTTCCCTCAGATCCCAGGTTCTCTCTGGTCCACCACCACCCAACTACAGTGTTGTAAGATAAGGAAATCAAACCACAATCCAGTAAGGACAGTTTCTCTTCTTTCTCTCTTGCTAGGTGTTTCAGGGGAACTCTAAGAATGTTCCGGATGCCACAGTGGAGACGGCAGGAGTATGGCGGGGAGAAGCAGATAAACTGTTGAGCACCCCAGATCTAAGCTTTGTGGTCAGACACCCTCTCACTTCCCACCCCGTGGCCGCCTAGTTAACTGCAGTATCCATTCCAATGACTAGGAGTCATAAAGTCAGAAGGCTCCAGGATGCAGACAATGGCTTTGGAAATGGGAGCGGGGTCTGGTTACTCTGCAGGCCGGCCTCCCCGCGACGATTTCGCACCACTCCGCATCAGCTTTATGACAAGACACGTGCCCTCCTACAAAGGTAAGTGTAGCCTTCTAGGGGAGACAGCCCCGGGATTGGGCGCTGACCTTCCTGCCAGGAAGAACAGAAAGGTCTCCCTCCCAAATTTATATACAGTCCTGGCTGGGACCATAAAGACTTCCGGTCCTTAGTCCCAGCTACTCGGGAGGCTTAGGCAAGAGAATCGCTTGAGCCCAAGAGTCTGAGGTTGCCGTGAGCTATGACACCAGAGTACCCTACAAGGGTGAGACAAAGTGAGACTCTTGTCTCAAAAAAAAAAAAAAAAAAGAAAAGAAAAGAAAAGAAAAAAAAGACTTCCGGTCTAGAGCGGAGGCCTGGTTAGCTTTAGTCCCTTCTCATTGGACGCTCCGGGGATCTAGTCCGGGTCTGAATTAAACAAAGAGGCGGAGCTTGGTGACGAGCTTCCGCCGGGTTGCGTAGCAGCGGTAGGCGGGACAAAGGATCTGTCTCAGACCGCGACAAGTGGTCGGAACCTTCTTTCCCCTCCTTCCCCTTCCTTTCCCAGGAAAGGCTGAGACCCGGCACCCGGGCTGTCCCGTGGACGCTGCGGCTTCAGCTCCAGCCAGGCCAGGGTACGAAGAGTCCGGGCTGCGTCCAGGGCGGTGTGTACTGCGCCTGCGCGGGCTTCCACTTAATAAAGGGTGTGTGGGGGTGTGTGTGTGTGTGTGTGTGTGTGTGTGTGTGTGTGTGTGTGATGTCCCGGGGGATTGGGGTGGGGGTTCAAGAAATTGGGATGAGGAGGAGGATAGGAATAAAGATGAAAATGGGGGAAGGGAGCAGCACTGGGGAAGAGGCAGGAGGTGAGAAGGGACCTTTGGAGGATGAGTTGTTGGGGACGGTCCACTGGAGTAGGGGAGAAGTGCGGGAGGAGGCCTGGGCTGGCTGGATGACAGGGAGCAGCGGACAGGGGGAGCAACGTGGTATTTAAATAGGCGATGAGTGACGTTCAGGAGGGGAAGAAGGGAACACCTCGGGGACCAGCCTGGGCAGTGGCAGCGGAACCTGAACCTCCGCCCTCAAAGCGCCATAGCTTGGCTCCCCTCCCATGCCTTGTCTTTAGCAGCCTTGTCCTTCCTTTTCATTCCTTCCTCGATTCTCTTCCCCCTTCCTGTCCTCCATGAAGAAATCTCACATTCCTCACGTCCCTGCCCTTGGTTTGTATTCTGGTCCGTTGGCACGTTCACTCGGCACACCAGAAAGCCTTGGAAAGTCTTCCCCAACCTGGGACTCGAGGAAATTGGGAGTCAGGATTAGGGGACCACAGAACAGAAAGCCAAGAGGGGTGAGAACGTTTGTTTGAGTGATCGACAAACACCACCTTCCTCAATCAGAAACTGACTTCATTTCATCTAATAGCAAACGCGGATATTAATGAGGCCACGGTTCTTGGGGATGTCCCTGTGGTTTTAGTCTGGGAACAGGGCAAGAGGCCGATAGTGTTGTTGGATGATAGTTTTCTCTCAAATACAAATGGGGTGGGCAGTGTTAGGGAATGTGAATGATGCAGAGTTGCTACCTTCTGTGTCCGCCTGACCTGTGGCTGGGCTTGCTTCCCAGTAATCGAAAAGAAGGAACAAACTTCTTTTTTTTTTTTTTTTT